CAGCAGAAAACAGGTCTTCTTTTAAGTATCTGGATATTCTGCACTCAGCCCAAAGTTCTGGTTTATATAAGGTCAAAGAAAAAACAACTGATTATGTTCCCTTTGCTTTCAGAATGTTTTCGGCATCTTCTCTGGGAGAGATCAGAACAGCCCCAGGGAATTCATTGTTTTCAGTTCAAATGTGGCTGTCATCCAGACAGCAGGCAGAGCATTGTGAGCTCAAAGCTGTGGTAACTTTAGTAAGTGTGACATTCACTGGGCAGAATGCGAGGTCCTGTTGCAATAACACACACTTCTTTTTTTTTTTGCCTGTACTATCAGAAGGAGAGACGGTGAGGCCATATACTTCAGCAACTATGAGCCAGCACATTGGGAAGCTCTATAGATCTGCAGTGGCTTCATTCCTCCTCTTCTTGCTGGTGGGTGAGTACTAAACCACCTTCCTTAATTAGAAGAAATATAGTTTATTCCTAGAGTCTGGCTTCAGACTTTTTTTTCCAGAAACGAACTTTCTGCTGAGGTCTTCCTCAGGGTGTTGGAAGACAGTATCTAATGTTGTGCACTGCATTGAAACATACTTTTCATTATAGATACACTCCTATTTATCTAACAGAAATGTTCAGAAAGAGTATGTTTGCCTGTCTTTTTCAGGAAGAAAAACTGTGTAACATCATTGCTAGAAACTGCATTTCTATTCTGGTTCTCTGATGTATTACCAACTGGTTATTGTCACAAGGTAGTTATTAATATCCATTTGTGAAAGCTAACCTCAGCCCAGGGCAAAAGGCATATAAATTAAGATCAACAATGTGCAGTCATTGATCACTTAATCATAGACAAGTGGGAGCTGGATACAGCTTGTATTGCACCCTCATGACACTGTCTGACTGTGAGGTTGAGCTCTAAAGCCAACAAAACCACCTGAAAGACAGTCATTCTAGCATGAGAAGGTTTCCATGTGGGTTGCAAATCGAGCCCTATTCACCCTCAATGTCTCCTCCTCCTATTGGGTGTGAACAAAGGAGAGGAGGCTCAACTAGAAAGGTCAAATTTTGCGCTATCTCCACCCATCATTTTGGTTCCCCGATGCTATTGGCAGCTGGCAGAAGAAGCCTGTAGGGCAGCTTAGGATTGACTCCAGGAGGACTGGAAGAGAGGACAGATATATTTTATTCTTTTCTTTTGTCACTCCACCTCCTCTAGCCTGTTTGTGTATTTCTCATTCATGACCAACAATATGACCTTACACCATATGACCTTACATGGGAAAGTTTCAACCTGCAGATTACGTAAAGGGGAGGCTGATGGCTTAGTAGGTGCCCTATTAGTACTGGCAAATGTGGAGCATGCTGTCACATTACAGGGAGTCCCAGAGAGCTTTCTCCCGCCATGACTGAAAAGTGGCCGTGAACTACCAACTTCATACGACAGTGACCTGTTAGATCATCTAATAATTTTTTTCCAGGTCAAGACAAGACCATCCATGTTATATTTCTCTGTACTCTGTCTAGCTGATATGCTTTCACCAAAAGACCTTGCATTCCTCTCCGCTGGGGATTGAGCCCTACAACCCTGCATGACAGGGGACCTACACATCACTCTGCCAGCGAAGCGACTGATTTAAAAAGAGCTTTGAAGCAGAGTCAACGAGGCATTTGGCATGGTATGCTCCATGGTATGCTCCCAGATGCCAATATGATAAGGGCATTGTGTATTTGAATACCAGTGAACTAATATGTTCCAGTTTTGCAAACTTACAGGAAGAAAAGAAAAAAGGAAAAGAAAAAAAAAAAAGAAAGTAAGAAAGAAAAATAGAGGCTGTGCTGTGACCTTCTCAGCGAAACTCCCAAACAGAGCTGGGGCAAAACAATACAGCCTATTTCTCTTGTGTTTTTATTTTCCTAATTAGCTTTAAGTTACATTATTTGCATTGAAACAAAGGTGTGGGATAACACAGAGGACAAGACCAGTTATTTCATGATAGGAGGTGCAAATAAAACTCATGATGAACAGAGGCAACCTTGAAGCACATTGTTCCTGCTCAGTTGTGTTCTCTATCCCACCAAGTGGCATGTAAATATGATACTTTAGCATCACTAAAGGGAATAAAAATTATAATTGTGTTGCAGGCTGTGTGTGTGGTAAGGCTGGAGTACTTGTAGCAGAGAAGAAATGCTGGGTCCATTCTGTAAAAACAAGGTAGCAGTAGAATGTACTGCTTTAGCTAAAGCATCAGTATCCAGTGGAGATAGCAGTTAATGAACAGAGAGTTTAAGAGGGTACTCATGATGAAACTGCTCAAATTCACTCTAAAAAATAACCCATTATATCACCTCAAAACATCTGATGCGCAAAGACAGTCATATTTCAAGCTACTGGCCTCTCTGTCAAGTATTTCAGCTATACTTTGTACTTCATCAAGCACCTTGATGACTGCTGTATTGACAGACTGTTATCTGACTGGAGAGGGAAAATCTGGACCTCAGATTCCCCTGTGAAGCTCCAGAGTCATCATGGGTAAGATTATGTATGAACGATGAGGATAATATCCAGAATCTTTAATAAGGACTGCTCAGTTTAGAGGACTGGATCCAAAACTACAATAACATTTGAGTACTTAATTCTCAGGCAATTGACTCCCATGGATCAGTGTTCCAGTTACAAGGCCAAAATTTTCACTTTGAGGTAAAAGCATGGAGCACTAAACAGCTCTGAAGGTTTTTCATAAGCTTTGTTGTTGCTTAGCTTCAGAGACAGCTTATATTTTCTATACTTTTGCAACCAAGAGTTATCTCGTCTGATATTTAAACTATGATCTCTATAGAGCTCCATATTTTCATAAGGCATCTAGAACAAGAGGACCCTGCTGTCTGTCAGAAATTGTCAGTGCTACTCCTGTAGGAGTCACAAATAATAATAACTATAAATACAACTGTGGTTTTGTGTCCAAGCATGCCTGGAGGAGCCATTCAAGTAACTCTCAAAGCGATCATTAAGGGCTTTGGCTTTCCATTGCCTTGAGACATGGTATCCCTGAGCACAGGGAGTCTATTGTCATTGTGAAGCTTTACCAGATCCAGACAACAGGGTTTCACATCCTTTGGCAATGAAAGACTAGAGACAATGGAAAATCAAGACCTTCACTGTGGAATGGTCTGCAGTCCCTGAGAGGACACCGACTAGTATGAAGGGGGGCTATTTCACTTGAAGAAAATAAAATAGTGGAATAAACTTTTCCAAAAATTAGTCTGAACTCTTTCTGGGCAACAGCCGTTGCCTTACGTTTAAGAGCTTATTTTTCCCTGGTTTTGAGACATTAACTATTCCTCTCATTTTCTGAGCCCAGGCTTGTCTCCAGAAATGAGATCCAGTCACGCTACTCTTAGCTCGAGGATGATACTATGATTAGCAGCTGAGTGTGAGAAGGCAGGTTAAAAATCTCTACTGCAGGCATGTTGCCCATATTTTTCTAACAAAGAGTAGCAGGACAATGTGGTGCCTTCACAGAGAGTAGATGTCACTCTCAGTATTAATACCTGCAGAATGCTAAGGTGTTGTCCCTCTGGTCACTGATAAGATCTGCTGGGAGTTTGGTCTCTGGCAGTGGAGATTCCTCCCACAATTTTAAGATTTACTATCTAAGAAGCACACGCTGTGTTTTGGGATGCAGTAGCTGCATTAGGATGAACAGGTATTCACTGTTCTGTGTATAAGTGTGCTTGTATTTTTTACTTTGCCCCAAAAGCAGTTGAAGCAGGAACATCAGATTGCAAGACTTTTTGGGGTGGGAAGAAGGAGGTTAGTGTTCCCAGTGGAAATGTGACTGAACAGACTCTGAATTTCACCCAAAGCCATTGGGCAATGGCGTTCATCTTCCTCTAGTATGGCAGTAGAAAGGAAATGAGGATTGGGAAAAGACCTATCTGTACACATGAACATAATACAAGCAGGAACTAGGAAAAAAATCCCTGTTGTCATAATAGTGACTACCCTCAAGTCCTCATTCCAGGAGACATTGTTTGTGCTGGATAGAGGTCAGAAGTAGCTGGAAAGTTTGTCATCCTACCACTCGCAACTTTCCTCTTCTTTCTTCTTCCTGACACAGATGTTGATGTTAGTGGTGGAAGTGCGAGCAAGGAGAATGCAGCTGTGACTCAACTGTCTTCGTTGCTGACAACACCTGAGCCATGGCACCTTTCACTGACTCAGACACCAGCCAAGAAAAAAGCCAAAGAGGGTGAAACTGTGGTCTTAAATTGTCACTTTAACAGGCCACGATACACCACCCTCCCTGACCTAATGGTGAGGTGGTACAAAGAAGATGAAAAGGGGCAGATGGACCTGCTAGAGAACAATGTGACCGTCTCACCAAATAACTCCAGGATTTTCATGAGTGGAGACTTGTCCCAAGGGGATGCCTCCCTGGTGATCCTTAATGTGACAACCAGTGACCATGGTATTTATTATTGTCAGGTTACGCTTCTGGACGGGAAGGTGGTGACAGGAGATGGCACAAAGCTCAGGATCAGGAGGGCTCTGGGTAATAGTTGATGTTATCTACTTCTTTTCTCCCTCTTCCTCCTCCAAAGCTGGTCTACATGCTTCCAGAAGGAAGGAAGTTGGCCTGTTTGGCCTCTAGCAGTTAGGGCCTGGTGTCCTGGAATGTAATTACTCTATGGCATTTCTCTTTATTTTTGCTAGGCCAGCTACTTTTGATTGGCTTGCCTCTAGAAACAGTCACATGGGTATTATTATAAGGAGGGGCAATTACAACCAGAAAGAGAAGGAATAATTTTATCACTAAAAGTCACTGCCAAGAGTGAAACAGTCAGACAAGTTCTCTTGTACTCACAACTCTGTTTCACAGATCCCCCATGAGTGACAGCTGTCAAGCTACCATCTCAGGGAACATGTCCAAACGTTTTTTTTGTACATGATTTCTCTCC